TGCACGCCTCCCCCCCCCCGATAGCTAGCAATCCACAACAGTCCAGTGGAGCCTGAGTGGTGGATGTTGCCTTCTGACACACTTCCGGTGATGTCAGTGGGTGTGGCATATGCAAACAAGTTATGCTAATGAGTTATGCTAATGAGTTATGCTAATGAGCTCCTGCACTTAGGAGCCTTCCGCTTTGAAGCGGCGTGGGAATATGCTAAAAAGAAGAAAAGAAAAGAAAAGAAAGAGCAAAGCTTCTCGATATCCCAACATGCTTCAGTGACCTGAGAGCCAGTCTGGTGTGGTGGTTAGGAGTGCGGACTCTAAACTGGGAGAACCGGGTTTATTTCCCACTCCTCCTCCACATGCAGCTGCTGGTGTGACCTTGGGTCAGTTACAAAGTTCTCTCAGAGCTGTTCCCTCAAGGGCAGTTTTTGAAAGCGCTCTCTCAGCCCCGCCTACCTCACAGGGTTTCTGTTGTGGGGAGGGGAAGGGGAAGGAGATTGTAAGCCTGCTCTGAGACTCCTTCGGGTAGTGAAGGGCGGGGTATAAATTCAATCTCCCCCCTCCCCCCCTTCATCTCTTGTGATCAAGGGAAGAGAGAAGTCTTTCCTCTGAACAACGGAAGCCTGGCTCACCCGCCCCCATCGAATCTCAAAACTTTATCAAATGTTGTTGTCCCATTTAAAGCTTTCTTTTGCAACAATGGGGACTAGAAAGTCGCTCTCCGGACAACCAAATACTGGGATCTCCCACCGACAAAGATGCTGCCATGCTGATATCCATAGTTACAGCTGCGGAACATCGGCGGTCACTTCCCGTCTTATGTTTCCAGTTTAGCAACTCGTCTGATAGTGAGAATACGTAAATCCTTTGTCAATATGACTGATTTAAGAGCGGGATTCTCCATTTTCAGTCAACACGAGGGTTGGTTTTCTTTGGCAGCTATAGACCCTTTTACAATAAACTATTCCGACAAAACAGAGGAATAATTCATTCCGGCAAAGTGGAGGGGGGGGGGAATTAAGTCATTTGCGCCGGTTGTCACCCGTGATCTCAATCATTTGGTGACTTGAAGCGAAGGCAATGCCTCTTGAAAGAATGCGCCTTGTAAATCAATGGATGCGAATGATGAGGACTCGGGACAATTGAAGATCCCCCTTCTCCAGTGCTCCCGATAAACAAAGCAACCCGGCCAAATCAGGGCCCGTTGTGGAAATCCGCACTCACTTCCCGATTTATTTATTCTCGATTTATAGCCTGCCCTCCCCACAAGAGGGCTCAGGGTGGATCACAGAGCGAAGTGTAGGTAAAGGTAAAGGTTTCCCTTGCTCGAAAGCCAGTGGAATCCGACTCTAGGGATGCGGTGCTCATCTCCGTTTCCAAGCCGAAGAGCCAGCGCTGTCCGAAGATGTTTCCGTGGTCATGTGGCCAGCATGACTAGACGCCGAGGCGCACGGAACGCTGCTACCTTCCCACTGAAGTGGTACCTATTTATCTACTTGCAATTTCTTGCTTGCGAACAGCGAGGTTGCCAGGAGCTAGAACCGGAGACGGGAGCTCACTCCATCATGCGGCACTCGAGTCTCGAACTGCTGAACTACCGACCTTCCGGTCTGCAGCTCAGCGTCTTAACCACTTGACCCACCGCAGCCCTATCTACTGTAATATCAATACATAAATTATAATCATGCCAAACAATATTCAGTTGGAATACCAGGAGACATACGTTCATTTCTAACTAACAAACCACACTATTTTATGCTTTACTTGACCCTTGCACTTAAACATCTAATTAAAGGTTGCCAAATTCTCCTTCATACTTTATACTCCCGAAACGTTGCCGCACGGTTAACTTCACCGTTTGCAAAGTATCATAAACTTTTAACAGCCGTTCTTTATTGTTAGGAAGTGCTCAGGTCTTCCGATGTCTAGTGAAAATAATTATTGCCACTGTCAATAAATTTAGCACTGTTTTCCCCCTTTTATTATATTCCACTACAGTCTGTCTATAATGTACTTGGCTCCGGGGGCTTTGTAGACAGATTTATTTATTTATTAGATTTATACCCCACCCTCCCCGAAGGCTCAGGGCGGCTAACAAGACAGCACGAATGCCAACATTAAAACAGATAAAAACAAGATAAAACAATATAATACAATCCAATAAAGTGTTGGTGCTCTAGGTATCACATCAATCATTTATCCCAAGATGGAGACTGATTTCCCACAAGCGCTGCTCCGCGCTCACTCCTTCCTTTTGCCCCGATGCCACGTGTCAATTTCACACAAGCTGCTGCGCGGCCGCGTTTCGCCCTGGAGCTTCGCACAATTTCCCCCGCGTCTACTCAATCCTCAAAAAACTGGAGTTTTGGCTGCACTGGTGGACCTCCTGATGGCACCTGGGTTTGTGTCACTGTGTGACACAGGAGTGTTGGACTGGAGGGGCCACTGACCTGATCCAACATGGCTTCTCTTATGTTCTTTTGGCCCTGCTGGTGGACCTCCTGATGGCCCCTGGGTTTTGGCCACTGTGTGACACAGAGTGTTCGACTGGAGGGGCCATTGGCCTGATCCGATATGGCTTCTCTTATGTTCTTAGGAATACCAGGGCTGTGACGCACAGGCAGGCCATGGCAAACCACCTCTGAATGTCCCTTGTTTTGAAAACCCTACGGGGTCGCCATAAGTTAGCTGCCACTTGATGGCACTTTCCACCACCAAACATGCTTAGGGTACTGCGCTGGGTAGTCTCCTTCTCACAGCAGAGCTAAGGCAAGATAACGGGCCTTTGTGTGACAGCATTTTTCCGGCATGCACATCAAAGGCACAAATCCCTTTGCTAGGAGGAGGAAGAGAAGAAGGAGGAGGAGAAGGAGGAGGAGGAGAAGGAGGAGGAGAAGAAGAAGAAGAAGAAGAAGAAGAAGAAGAAGAAGAAGAAGAAGAAGAAGAAGAAGAAGAAGAGAAGCAATATTTGATTTGTACTGCCAACATAGCTACTGTGGCAATCACAACATATGCTCTCGAGAGAAAAACTTGTTTGAAAATCTCAACATATCCAAGAGCTGGCCTCTCCACCTTGCTGAGAAGATGTCCTTCTCTCCTTCCCACCTCCCACTAATGGACACCTGTCCCCTTACCTGGATCATACCTGTCCCCTGGGGATTAGATGTTTTCTCTAATTTGGTTTCTAGCTGACACTTTGGCTGTATGCTTTTGATCCACTCCAAAACTTCCAGGAGGAGTGGGGTAGTAGTAGGGCCGCAGGGGAAATGCTGATCGCCACTTTGGGGGTCCGGAAGCTATTTTTCTCCAGGCCAGTTTGGTGAATTTCCTGCATTGTGCAGGGGGTTGGACTAGATGACCCTGGAGGTCCCTTCCAACTCTATGATTCTATGCCAACCTCCAGGTGGGGAGAACCAGAACAGCCATGTTTACATTGTTTGACTTAAAGGTAAAAGGTAAAGGTTCCCTTGCTTGAAAGCCAGTCGAGTCCGACTCTAGGGTTGCGGTGCTCATCTCCATTTCAAAGCCGAGGAGTCAGCGCTGTCCGAAGACGTTTCCGTGGTCATGTGGCCGGCATGACTAAACACCAAGGCGCACGGAACGCTGTTCCCTTCCCACCGAAGCGGTCCCTATTTATCTCCTTGCAATGTCTTGCTTTCGAACTGCTAGGTTGGCAGGAGCTGGAACTAGAGACGGGAGCTCACTCCGTCATGTGGCACACTCGGGTCTTGAACTGCTGAACTGTGAAACTCCATTAGATTGCATTGATTGGAGATTCCAGTATTACACAATTTATTTATTTCCAAGACTTTACCATTACAAACCAAATCTACCTTGTTTTCTATGCAACGATCGACAGATATTTGTATACACAACCTGATGAAGATACATGGTCAAAATGGGCTGAAATCTGGCTACTCGTATCGTGTCACATTCTCACGTTACAAAAGAAAAATTCTGAGACTTTGATTCTTTTGTAGTTTTTTTACAACAGTTTCTTGTATTACATTTTTTTTTGTATAATGTGTTGCATTTGTTCGATACTCAGCACTGTTGTAGAGTTATAAATTTTGTATGCGTCGTATGACTTTAGGTTACAATAGTAGCACGCATCGCATATACATCATTTTGCATTGACAAAAATACAACTTCATTTGCTTTTGTTTATATCTTCAACCTTATTAATATTTGACTAATGACAGCAGGAGTGTTTAAGTCAGCCTGATTTCACGGTGTTCTGCACTTACTTGGTTGCATTCTATACACTGTGGTCCATATTTTGTAGTTTATCTAACCTCCAGGTGGGGCCTGGGGATCTCCTGGAATTGCAACTGATCTCCAAACGACAAAGATCCGTTCCTCCGGACAAAACG